TCCGCTCGAGATCGTAGGAACCGCAAAGGGAGCGAGGAAACGTTCGCACGTATCGTCGAGGATCTCTCTGAGACGAAACGGAACGGTGCAGTTTGCACGAAGGTGGCAAAGCAGTATTGGTTGGCCAGTCAATGTTACCTACGAGTTGTTTAAGAGGAGAGGACACTTATTACCGTTTGCAATTCAATACACCGGCAGTCGTCGCCCTCGTTAGTAGAGAGTCTTTTATTTTTTCATACAACGCTTTGTTCTCTTTTCTTTTTTGTACAGTTTAAGATATATTATATCGTCGTTCGCTCGTCACAAAAGCGAAGGAGGACCGACGCGACGCGTGCGTTGTACAATTATGTAGCGATACATATACGTGTAACGTAACGCGTTTACATATATATTTATAGAGAAATCGTATATATATAATTATATATTGTCTTATATACGTGTCATTTTATTATATATAATTATATATGCACTTCTTTATATATAAATATGTATGACGCGTCGCGTCGCCAGTCGATAGTTGTACACAGAAATTTATTAGGCATAGGTGTGTAGCTAGTTTCTTAAATCTCCTTACGAAAAATCGTCATTACAGGTTCAACGTTTTAAACGACAAATGATCGACTTTATCTTAGACAAAAAAATATTATATATGTATAAAGAATCGCGCGTACACGCGCGTTCGTGTACGCGTGTACGAATTCTATCGTACACGCGTATACGACGACAATTATGGGAGAAATATGAGAGAGAGAGAGAAGCGAGAATCGCGCTCTCGCCGACATGGAGAGAGGTGTAGTACAGCGTGTAGTAATAATCAGGGAACTGTAGGAATTGCATTGATTTGCCTCGATTCGATTAAAAGTACGACTATTGTTACAGTAACTAAATAAAAAAAAAAAAGCTGAATTCGACACTGGTCGTCGCCGCGCGTAGGGGTGGTGGTGGCTCGCGTGTCACGTTACTTGGCTGTGTGTGCTAGGCTACATCGTAAATCATGTTCCATCGCGTTCTCATCGCTCCCACACTCTCGCATAGGCTCCATTAAAAACAGATAGGAAAATAAAAACGACAAAAAAAAGATTTAAGAAGAAAATGAACGAGAGGAAATGCAAAAAAGAGGCAGAGAAATATAAATATATGTATAGATAGAGTAACGACGAGAGAGAGAGAGAGAGAGAGAGAGAGAGAGAGAGAGAGAGAGAGAGAGAGAGAAAGAGATCCGCGCTGTTATTAATTATTGTACCAACGATAAGAGCGAGTATTCGACTCACGTTTTACTCCCAGGGGTTAAAAACGAAAGAAAGAAGCCCTTTCTTCCCTTCTCCACTCCATACTTTCCTCCATCCCATAATCCATTCGCTGCATGTCGCCTCATTCGCGTCACTTTAGTGCCATATCGAACTTCCCTTTGCCCATCAGCCACACTTGTTAACGTTTGACAGTAGAACGTGTTGTTAAAGATGTGTATATCTCTCTGCTGGACGCAGGGATCGTTTTCAATAAAGTCGGTACGTTTATTTCTCATTATATTTTGGAATATTGGAGTATTTGTACGGGTAATCACCTTTATGCCTGCTCAGTTTGCGGGGAGGGAATGTTTTACGAAAGAAGTGGCTCTCTTGGTGGTAGCCAAGAAAGGGAGGGAGTTTTAGGAACATAATTGAGGCAAGACCGACCGCCGCGAATTGAGAGGAATATTAATTAGTGGATATTTTAATGCGTCGCAATGTTGTCGCGAATTTCGCGCTCGCGCGTTTCTCCTTTCGCTTTTTATTTTTCTAGTTTTTATACGCGTGCGTTGTATCTTGTTCCAGTCTGTCTTACGATCAGCGATAATAGTAATATCTAAAGATGACGTAACGATTTCCGAAACTGATATTCGCGTACTGCTAATTATTCGACAATATTCGACCCGGAAATATATCTGTTGCGATCGCTGCCATATAAGGAAAGAGATGTCCTTTAAATTCGACGATAACGTCAGCGTGCGCGTCGCAAGAAAATTTTACAAAATTTCCGAACAGACGGAGAGATCGAGCAAAGGCCTATATCGATTGTTAAATGACGAGAATAGGGGGAAAAGTACAGGCGGGCAAGTTAACTTTGCGATGCATCGCGATTGATTATCGTTTCCGAAGGAAGAAAAAAAGAAATGTATTTGCATTCTATTAGGGATTTTACTTCTCCAAAACTGCGTTGGTTTACTGCCACTTTTTTGCAATCGTTCGCTATAATCAAACGTTTGAATACGGTAGGACAAATTTACCATAGCCGAAAAAAAATCGATGTAATCCGTAATATATGTATATACACGTATATACATATATATTACGTTAAGAGAGAAATGTTAACACTAAGATATAAGAATTGCTATAGAGAGCGTCACAAAGAAAAGAAAAAAAAAGAAGAATTTATTTATTGCATCGCGCATTGCATTGATCGACAATAGCAGAAGCGAAGTTATATTACATATATATATATATATATATATATATATATA